TCATTCAATAAACTCACTGAGATGATCTCTAGATTTACTGGTGCATTTGATTCTGTCGAACATCGCAGAATTTGTGTGCGCTTATTGCATCTATCTGGTAGGATAGATCGAATGTCTCCTACTTGTGATGAGATAAGTACAAAATCTAGATTAAAGACACAGCTTGTTGTGTGTGAATCTGATCTTTTAGAGAAGCTTGAGATGCCATCTGCTCAATCATCTCCTCCATCAGTTTCATCTCGTCCTATTCCATTGGCATCAAATCCGCCTGTGACTGTTGCTAATCCTCAAGTATTTACTCCAGTACATACACAGCCACTCTCTCCTATAAATTTTGCTCCACATAAAAACATACCAGTTTTCAAATGGGGAATCAAAAAATTTTCTGGAAATAGCTCAGTTATTGAATTTCTAGAAATTGTCGAATCTCTAATGTCTTCCCGTGGTTGCAATGAGATGGATCTCTTTGCATCTGCAGGTGATCTCTTTGAAGATGTAGCCTGGACATGGTGGCATAATGGCCATCTAAGAAATAGCTTTCATGATTGGCAGGACTTGATTAAACAACTCAAGGATGCTTTTCTACGTGACAATTATGATATGAACCTAATTGATGAGATTCGTAGACGCAAACAAGGTCAGCATGAACATGTTACGATCTTCATTTCGTTCATGGAATCTCAATTCAATAGATTAACCTACAATACATTTACAGAAAAGGACATGGTCAATATTGTCCGTAGAAATTTATTGCCTGACTTCATAAAGTCACTTGCTCTTCATGAAATTTCCACTTTTCCTGAACTAACATCACTTTGTAGGAAATTAGAGGATTCCTTCTTGACTTGTCAACCCCACAATAGACTTTCCACCTCCAGCTTGGTTACTTCTGATAGTGCTCCATCATCTCACAGAAAAGCTCCTGTATGTTGGAACTGCAACCTTCAGCAATTAATCCCGATTTTGACATTAATCATTCACAACTTGCAGGTATGCCATCAAATGATCATTCAGAACCATTTATTCAAAAACCAAATGACAATCGTCCACATCTTTCAATATCCATTGGTGATGAAAACAGTTTAGCTTTGCTTGATACTGGAAGCAATGCCAACATTCTAGGTTCATCTGGCTTATACTTATTACGTAAATTAAATCTCAACATCGATTACAGCAGCACCTTGCAATTAACAACTGCTGATGGCCAGATGCAGAATACTTTAGGTTTTGTTTTGCTACCAGTAGGTTTTAATGGCAAAGTTCATGTCATTAAATTCATAATAGTTCCTTCCATTAGATTTCATCCTAAAATTCAATTTCAACTTTGATTTTCATACTTTTTCATATCAATCTTGTGCTGTAAATTGTATTCAAGGTATGGAGAAGCTATCTAATATGGAAAAGGAACAATTATTTGAAATTGTTGAACTTTTTAATAGCATTGCACCTACTGACAGTATTGGTTGTACACATTTATATACACATCACATTGACACAGGTGATGCAAAGCCCATCAGGCAAAGACAATATCCTCTTTCTCATGTAATGGAAAAAGCTCTTATTAAGCAAGTTGATGAAATGTTGGACATGGGTATTATAGAACCTTGCAGCAGTGCCTGGTGCTCAGCGCTCTGGCTGGTTTCCAAGAAAGACGGTTCATATAGAGTTTGTTTTGATGGTAGAAAACTAAATTCAGTAACAATTCCTGACGCGTATCCTCCTCCTTTAACAAATTTATGTAACGCTTCCTTTCCGCAAAAAGTCCAGAAAAGATGGAATGCAATGAAGATTCCAACTTTTCTGCACAATCACAGAAAGGGGGTTACCATTAGCTTCCGGTAGCTGAGTGGCATGAAGACATCTACAGGCGTGTAGCTGTGTGTCGACCATGGCATGGCTAGAGGATAGAAGAACAAACAGAACACAAAAATTTAACAGATTTTATTTAACAAAAAAGCATTTTCATTACATTTGAAATTTTAAAGAACAAAATAAGTTTTAAATCTTTGGCGCTGCTATAAAACTATACACTTATCTTTCGCTGGTCCATTTTTGACCGGACTGAAGCGAGGATGGCCAGGTGCTTGATGTGGAGGTCCCAGTTATGAGGGGTGACCTCACATTTAGTGGCTTCAGAACTAGATGTAGGCGAAGTTGAACTTAAAGGTGATGGCGCTGCCAAGGCACATGCATGGGTGAAGTGATAGGCCAAGCAATACAAAGTCAAAGACTACATGAGTTGCAAAGGCAAAAGTCAAAGACAAAGGCAAAGGGAAAGGGAAAGAGAAAGAGAAAGAGAAAGGGAAATAGAAAGAGAAAGGGGGTGGCCCCAATCATTTTGTCCTATTCGGACACACATTCTACAAAATTCTAGCACATGGTGCTGTACGACCTCATGCTACAGAGAACAAAATTCTTAGCTCTTGCTAGATCGGCGGCTCAAATGAAAAGGAAGCGCGAGGAAGATCGCAGATCAGGAACTCCTCATCAAGCGGGCTCCAAGCGGAAAATTTTCCAAGTAAAAAAGCTAGAGATGGGATTAATGAATTGCGATTCTGAAATGATAATCGAGAAGTGATTTAATAAATACAATCGGAAGGTGAAACCGTTACACTACTTTACCAAGGACGCCAAATCTTGTTGAAATTTGGTCTGGTGGTGGCGGAGCTAGGGGCCAAAAATCGAAAAAAAACGCTGAAACTTCATTTTTATAGAGGTTCCTGATAATTTTCAGAAATTTTTTGTCAAGGTTGGGGGCATTTCGGGGGTCGGGGATTGTAGAGGTTGGGAGGCATATACAGGGTGTTCCTTAATGATATGCGAATATTTAAGGGTGTGAATCTACATGAAAAATAAATGTTAGTTCTTTTATAAACTATGATCCAAAAATTTTTCCTTATAAAAACTCGAGGTGTTGAGGTTTTAGGAAAAAAATGGAAATTAGTTAGTATTTTCAAAACCGCTTCAGATATTTCACTGATATTTAGTACGTAGTGAGAGTTAAAAAAGTTGCATATTTTTCAATACAAAAATAATGTTTAGCCTTAACAGTGGCGTGCGTACGGGTGTTGACTTCGATATTTTTTAAGAAAAAAATGGTACGCAAATGGTTTTTTGCCAAATAAAAATTATTTTTGAATTCCTCGTTCAATTTAAAACAAATGGTCTTTCTCTTGAATTGTTTTCCTTCGATGCGCCATTTCTGAGTAAAAAAATAAAAAGCGTTCTATTGTCTAACTTGCAAAATTATTATTAATTTAATTGGAAAAATTAAACACATTAGGGCTAATGAACAACAACAACTGACAACATAAACATAACATTAAAACCAACGAGATGATTACAAAAATTGTTGAAAATGGCCCCCTTCACTTAGTATGTATGCTTCCGCCCTCCTTCTCATGAAATTGCGCACTCGTTGAATTATCCCTGGAGAGTTTTTTATTCTATATCACAAGCTGCAACTATTCTTTCTCCTAATTCCTCTACAGTGTTAATGGGACTTGTGTACACTAGTGTCTTAAGATAGCCCTACAAAAAGAAATCTAAACTGTTGAGGTCTGGGGACCTTGGTGGCCATTCTTGGGGCCCACCGCGGCCAATCCAACGATTTGGATAAACAGTTTGTAAATAATTACGAACTGCTACACTAAAATGCGCTGGTCCACCATCATTCATGTACCACATATTGTTTCTTATTACTAACGCAACATTATCCAGCCTCAAAGGCAGCTGTTGTTGAAGAAAATTGAGGTAAGTATGTCCGTCAAGTCGTCCTGGCAAGAAGAATGGGCCAATAAAGTGGTTGCCAATAATTCCTGCCCGTACGTTAACCGAAAATTGGTGTTGGAAATGGGTTTCGGTTATGGCGTAGGGATTTTCTTCTACCAACAAATGATTTTTGTGGAAATTCTGAATGGCATTTCGAGAAAAAATAGCTTCGTCCGTGAGCAGAGTCATTGATTCAAATTGCGGATTTTGAGTAATTTTTTGAAGATTCCACTTACAAAAGGTCACACGCCTTGGAAAATCAATGGGAAGTAATGCCTGTACTCTTAAAATATGGTAATGATATAACAAAAAATCCATTAAAATTCTCCAAACAATTTGATGGCAAATAATTAAGTGTCTAGCGATCTTCCTCGTACTCGTTTCAGGATGTTCTTCGACTTCGTGCAGCACTGCTTCCTCCATTTCAGGTATTCCCCACTTAGAGGTCGACGTTCAGATGTTAATTTTTGGACAGAACCAGTTTCAACAAGACGACGATGAATATTAGAAAAGGTTCTACTATCTGTGTAGTATATTAAGTACGCCCCTGGTTCCCCGAAAATTGCGCATGTACGATGAGTACTCTCACAGGGATACGTTTGACACACAGTATGTCGGGGTTCCGGATTTGTAACAGTTATCGGTGATATATAATAAACCATTAGTATACTTCCGGGTATTATTGATACCAACTAAGACATTACATGGCGACGAGGGTTATTAAAGAACTCGCCGGGTGAGGTTAAGTGTGTGTAAACTCCCCGTTTGTGTTGAAACCTCCAGTTGTTGGTGAACCAATCTGTGCACAAGAAAGATGGCAGTTGCAGCAGCGGGTCCCGTGCTCACATTCAATCCCAAGGAGAACGAGTGGGAAGTTTTCTTCAAAAGGTTAGAGCAGTATTTTATAGTACACGGGGTCACTGAAGAAGCTGACAAGAGAGCTCATTTGCTGTATAGTTTGTCTGAGGAGGCGTATATTTTATTAGAAAATTTATGTATGCCGCAAAAGCCGGAAGAAACCCCATACCAAGACATAGTTCAGTTATTTCGGCTCTGTGCCTACGGCCTGACCGTTGAGATTACGTTCCCTATCTACAGCTCCGGAGTCAGTATGTGTGCGTCTCTAGTCCCCCTTACCTTCGTCCTCCTCCCCTTTCTGTACGCCCATGCTCCTTGGAGCGATGCGCGCGCTGGCTAGTGGCGAGCGATTCCCCGCTCGCCCTTCAGTACGCTTTTATCTATCGCACGGATAGGGTGTGTGCGTGTGCGTATGTGTAACATCGCGAGTTAAACGTTGTGTAACGTTCGAGAGAATAATAGTATAAATGCAAAAGTAAGAGACAAAAACCTTAGCTTGACAATTTAGTGTAGATGGCTACCATTTGATATAAAATTGTCACGGTCTCGGATCACTCGGTCCAGACGTGAGACTCCCTTCTAATGCATCTTGGGCAAATTCGCTAGAGCATAATATGGGCACTTGTGTGCAAGCGCACAATGCCCATTCATAGGAAAATTGAAGGGAGTCCTGCAGCCGGATCCATCTACACAATGTCCCCGGCCGCTACGTTCGGTCCGACCGGCTGCAAATTTTGGCCCGACCGGCTGCAGAATTTGGCCCGAACGGCTGCAGATTTCGGCCCGACCGGCCCGTCAAGTCGGCCCGACCAGCTGCAGACTTCGGCCCGACCGGCTGCAGACTTCGGCCCGACCGGCTGCAGACTTCGGCCCGACCGGCTGCGAATTTTGGCCCGACCGGCCGCTACGTTCGGTCCGACCGGCTGCAAATTTTGGCCCGACCGGCTGCAGAATTTGGCCCGAACGGCTGCAGATTTCGGCCCGACCGGCTGCATTTTTGGCCCGACCGACTAACTAATTATAGCACATCTGCTTCCAGATGGCGATGGCAACCAATTTTGTTACTCTGGGTGAACTCTGGTCCAGAAGCAACATCGGTGGGAGAGAAAACCTACCGAAATATAAAATTGAGGCTTCTCGACTGGAACCTCTGTAGAGCATTGATCATGAGCCCACGGCAGGTAGCGTGTCAGTTACGAGGATCTATGGCTCAAGCGGAGCTCTTTAATAAGGCGGTGGAACCACTTAAACATACTATGCGTTCCAGAGAGCTGACGTCGGAGGCCCTTTCAACGGACGGGTCTAATTATACGTCCCGAAGTAAAAGGAGACGGTGTCAATCGTCCAGCTCAGACGACGAGTACCCGGTCAGATCCGAGAAACCAATGAAGAGGAGGCGGCGAGTATTGTCTTCGAGCTCGGAGGAGGATGTCAATGAGACAAGGCTACGCCGCGTGGAAAGCATGGTCGAGAATCTTTACCACTTGGTCTCAGGAAATAAAGAGAACGATGGCAGCGTCATGAATTCGACGTGGCAAGCTCCAACTCCTACAGGTGAAGAGCTGTATGACGCCGACAGTATTGGCACATGTGGCAGCGTAAACGACTGGGACACGTTTTCCCCTGTCACTAGGGAAATCGAGCCTACAGTCTCTAGGGCGGACCCAGTAATCGAGACACAGGGCATGAAATGCCAGCGTTTCGGGGAAGAGACATGGAACAAGATTCGTTACGTGGACGCTCAGAAAAAACTCCACGCATCACCAGTCTTCAGTACTCTGAAGGTTAACTCATCCTTGTACAACAATGGACATGCAAGCCCAATGACAGATATGTTATCCAAAAGTGACCTGGCCTTCGGGACTATCTCACACGGTCTACTGAAGCAACGGAGAATCATACATGAGGCTCTGAAGGAGGCGGGGAACAAACACCCGGAAGCGGCAGACACTTGGAAAAAAGTTTTTGCTGCTAACAGTGAATACAAGACCATCTCGGACGACCTGCTGCAGTTCGTTTGCGGAAAAAGGGCGGAAATCATCGAAAGTCGCAGGAAACTATACGAGCCTAAAAGTAGTTACTATAGGTCCATCGTCAATGAGATTCCTCCGTCAGGTACGCACTTGTGGGATGAAGAGCAGCTGAAAGATGTGGTTAAAATGCATGGAGTGACGAAAATTGCTCCTGTCCGCTGGCAGAGTAATTTGGGAAAAGTCGCACTGAGACAGAAGGTGCCTCAAGGAACTTCTCATGAAAAGTATCTGCGTCAAGGTTCATTTAAAAAAAAAATGAAGAAGGCAGAGTTTAAGCATTCGCGTAAGCCGGGGGCGAAAAGTCATACCAAGCTAGCTCGTAAGGAGCAACCACCTTTAGATAAAAGGCGGAGTTTTTGACAGTTTTCAGGCAGGACAACTCGCCAAATATGTCTCTGCTTGGAAAAGTATGGGAGCCTCACAATCGATTCTCAGTATCCTGAAAGGCTACGTGATCCCTTTCTCAATAAAGCCACCAATAACAGTACTATCCCAACCGATACTAAACAAATTCGAGACACCTGCATTCACACAAATGGATCGAGAAATACAAAACCTCATAAATCAAAAGGTGGTAGTAAAACTGCAAACAAAAACAGGTTTCTTATCAAAGATGTTTTTGACGCCGAAATCGGGGGGCTTGTGGAGACCAGTGTTCAATCTAAAAAGATTGAACAGCCTCATCACGCCCAAGAAGTTCCGCCTTATGAACCATCGCAAACTGCCATTATTTCTCCAGGAAAGAGATTATATGGTAAAAGTCGACCTTTCTCAAGCATATTTCCATTTGCCAATAAAGCAAAAGCATTGGCGTTATCTGGGACTTTATTACCGGCAAAACATCTACGCTATGACAGCACTACCATTTGGCCTAAGCTCCGCTCCACAGGTGTTTGCAAAAGTTACGAACTGGGTGGCGAGCTACTTGAGGAAACAAAACATTCGAGTAATGGTCTATTTGGACGATTTTTTGATCGCAAACCAGAATCCAGAAGAACTAAAGCGAGAGGTATCCACCCTGATAGATACTCTCATAAAGCTGGGTTTCTGCATCAACCTGGAGAAGTCCGAAATAAGACCTACACAGAAATTGGCATATCTAGGTATTATGTGGAACACCATAAGAAATCAAAAGAGTTTACCGGAGGACAAAATCCACCGTCTGCAAACATCAATCCAAGCTGGAATCAAGAGCAAGACTTGGAGCTGGAAGCAGGTAAAGGCACTGCTAGGGAGAATGGAATTTGCCTCGTTTGTTATCCCACTGGGTCGACTACATTGCAGAAAGATACAAAGAGCAGTCAATCGGATGTCAGAAAACCAACCAAAGAAACTGAGAGCTAAGATGGTGGGAGAAAAACTTAAAAGGGTCATCCATAATCTGCATGAAAGAACCGGAAGTTCATATAATAACCGATGCCTCAAACACGGGCTGGGGAGCCCAAGTAGGAGACACTTTGAGGAAAGGAAACTGGACAGAGCAGCAGGAAAAGTGGCATATCAACAAAAAAAAAAAAAATGTTCGTGATCTACTTAGCGCTAAGAAACCACCTAGATCGATTGGCAAACAAAACACTGTTAATTTAGACGGACAACAGGACGGTGGTTTCCTACTTGAGAAATCAAGGAGGAACCAAGTCGGTCACGCTTTTGGCATTGACCAGGAAGATCCTGGAGCTGGCACATCAATACAGTATGTCTCTGAGAATAGAACATATTCCAGGAAACTACAATATTGTGACCGACCACCTATCCAGAGGAAAGGATCTGCCAGACTGGCACTTATCAAGGATAGCTCAGAAGAGGATCTTCGAAAAGTGGGGAACCCCTTGCATCGACCTATTTGCGACTCCAGAATCAGCCGTCGTTACAAGATTTGTAACGCAATTCCCATGCAAGGAGGCAGAATTCGTCAACGCATTTACAAGAACGTGGGAGTACAAGCTAGCGTGGATATTCCCTCCTCCACCCCTAATACCAAGAGTTCTCCAACACCTCAACTATTGTCAGGGAGTTTTCATAATGATAGTCCCCAGTTGGGAAAGGGTGTTCTGGCGGCCCCTTCTGAAGAGACGTGCCATCGACCACCCGTTCACCATTCGGAATCTGAAGGCTCACCTGGAAGATCTTCAAACCAACCAGCCTCCTCCAAAGGTAATGGATTTACACCTGGAGGCATGGAAGATACGGGGTGGTCCGATATAGCGAATCACTGGTCAAAGGATGAAAGGAGAATCTTAGAAACATCCTGGCGCAAGTCAACTCTCAAAACGTATGCCGTTGCATGGAAAAGTTGGCAATCGTGGGCGAAGAAAAGAAGAGTTTCAGTTAAAAATCCAAACCCCACGCAGGTGGCTCAATACCTCTGCTTCCTACACAACACAAGAAAATTGGCGCTTAGAACGATCCTATTACATAAATCCACCATTGCGACATTCTCCAATCCACTACATAGTGAAGGAGTTTCCAGTAGCCCAACAGTGAAACAGGTAATTAGAGGTATTGCAAATGCAAATCCTCCAGCAACTAGGCCAAAGATTTGGAACATCGATAAACTTCTATCTTGGATTAATGATAACCATCCAGATACGAATAGTATCTTTCAAGTGGCCCGGCATCTATCGCTGCTTTTGCTGCTATCATCGGGAAGGAGAGTCCATGACTTGACACTCCTTCGAATAGATTCTGGTTTCTTTGAACAAACCGAAGAATACATAATTTTCTGGCCACAACATGGATCTAAGACAGACAAGCATAACTACGTCCAGTCAGGCTGGAAACTCCTCAAAAATCGAGAATGCATCTGGGATCTAGTACACTGGACAACCATATATCTAGAAATATCAGAAAAGAGAAGGAACCTCCACTGTCGACCGATTCCTCAACTATTCGTCACAACTCGTGGGAAGATAGGACCGGCATCTCGGTCAGTGATAGCAGGATGGGTCCGCACAGCGTTGAAATCGGCAGGTATAGAAGGAGGAGCCGGCAGTACCCGCTCGGCAGTGGCAACATCCCGCTTCAATGATAACATGCCATTGGATGAGGTTTTGCAGAAAGGAAATTGGCAGGGATCAAGCAATTTCTTCAAACACTACTATAACCATGTCACAGTACGCTTTCTAACACCGTGGCGCGCCGGCAGATTGTAAACACTTCTCAACGGTCAGGCCGTAGGCACAGAGCCGAAATAGAACAATTTTCCCCCTGAAGGGAAGAAAATTGATATTTCGGGTCTTGCCATAGGCCTGACCTAGGTAACGCCTTGCCGGCGCAAGAGTACTGAAGGGCGAGCGGGGAATCGCTCGCCACTAGCCAGCGCGCGCATCGCTCCAAGGAGCATGGGCGTACAAAAAGGGGAGGAGGACGAAGGTAAGGGGGACTAGAGACGCACACATACTGACTCCGGAGCTGTAGATAGGGAACGTAATCTCAACGGTCAGGCCTATGGCAAGACCCGAAATATCAATTTTCTTCCCTTCAGGGGGAAAATTGTTCTATTGTCTAACTACTATGGTAAAACTGCTGTTGTATGGGTCGAAAGGCAGAAGTTTTATAGTGCATCCAAATCAGGAAAAGAGACGGCACTAGAATGGAGTGTACGACTTAAAGGTTTAGCTCGCTATTGCAATTTTGGTCAGCAGCTTGAGTCCAAGCTAACGGACATTTTTGTTACGCAGTTCAATCCTGGGAAGGTGAGAACTGAATTATTCAGCCTAAACGAGAACACCACCTTAAATAACGCTGTTGAAAAGGCCAAAATTATCGAAGCAACGCTAGTAATAAGAGACCCAGTTGGTGAAGTTAAAAGCGAGGTCTTAGAATCCGATGTTTTTCGAATTACACAAAATAATTCAAATATTGGTGCCACTGCCGATCAACATCAAGATCCTCAACGGTATCATAGCGGGACAGCAGTACCTGCAGCGCAGCGGAGCCAAGGAGGCACGCGCAGGAGTGGGGGCAACAGCTCAAACATGGCGCTGCCGCAGCTACAGCAGTTCACATCGTCTGGTCGCTCTCCGGGCTGTTTCCGCTGCGGGAGGAACCACAACAGTAATGTATGCCCCTATAACGAATATATTTGTAACTCTTGTCACGGTAGGGGTCATCTCAGTGTGGTGTGTAAAAAGAAAAAACAATCCTCACCTAAGCACGTTAATTATGTTTTTCCTAATAATGATATTGCTGAGGATTATACAGACGTTTTTTCATCCACAGTTCTAAGTATTTCTAGCTTAGGAAGCAACAATGATGTGCCACTATATATCGATATTTTAGTTGAGAACGTCATGTTGAAATTTGAACTTGACAGTGGATCAGCTGTTAGAGTTTTGCCACTTCATGTTTACAAAACATATTTTGGTGCTCACGTCATGAAAAAAACAAAAGTTTCCTTGATTAATTTTTCTGGCAATAAGATCATCCCACATGGCACAATCAACTTAAATGTTAAATTTAATTTCAAAGATAGCATCCTACGCTTTTTTGTTGTTGATGGTAATAATCCATTGCTCCTAGGTCGAGATTTTATTAGGAATTATAATATGGGATTTAGAGAAATTCATTATTTGAACAACGATGCTGTTGATGCTCTATGTAATGAGTTTCCTGGCGTTTTTGCAACCAATTTGGGAAGGTTCAACAAGTGTAAGATCTCCATAAATATTAAACTTGATGCAAATCCCATTTTCCATAAACCTAGACCGTTACCATTTGCAATTAAAGGTAAAGTGGAGGAGGAATTAGATAAATTAGTCTCTAATGGTATAATATCTCCAGTGGAGTTTTCAGAATGGGGTACCCCAATAGTACCAATTTTGAAGGAAGATGGAGGAATAAGAATTTGTTGTGATTATAAGGTAACTATTAATTCAGCTATTCTAGTGGACAAATTTCCCTTGCCTAGAATTGACGACTTATTCACAAAACTGAAAAATGGAAAGCAATTTTCCAAAATTGATCTCTCATCGGCTTACAATCAAATAGAGCTCGAGGACTCTTCAAAAAAATTTACGACTATTTCGACTCACAAAGGTTTATTCGAATTCAATAGATTGCGGTTTGGAATAAACTGCGCTCCAGCACAATTTCAAAGAATTATGGAGCAGCTGTTCAATAAAATGCCCCGTGTATGTGTTTTTCTTGATGATATTTTAGTTACAGGTATCGATAAAGAAGATCATATTAGAAATTTGAAAAGGGTTTTACTTTGTCTTTCCGAATGTGGTCTCACTGTTAGAAAAAAAAAGTGTGTGTTTTTGGCTGATTCCATTTCATATTTAGGGTTTGTTATAGACGAGACAGGCCTACATAAAAGTTTAGAAAGAGTTAAGGCAATACGCGACATTTCTCCACCAGAAAATGTCACTCAACTTAAGTCTTTTTTAGGCAGTATCACTTATTATAATCGTTTCATCAGAAATCTCCCAGATATACTTCACCCTTTATATAATCTTTTGAAAAAAGATATAAGTTGGTCATGGGATAAAACATGTCAGGATTCATTTGAGTATATTAAACTTGCATTATGTTCTGACGATGTGTTGGTGCATTATAATCCTGACCTACCAGTTACTTTGACTATTGATAGCTCGGACTATGGAGTGGGAGCAATTTTATCTCATGTTTTTGAAAATGATGTCGAAAAGCCAATTTGTTATGCGTCAAGAACTCTCTCGAAAAATGAATTGGCATACTCTATTTTGGATAAAGAAGCTACCGCGATTGTTTGGAGTATTAAACGATTTTACCAATATTTGTGGGGTAGAAAATTTACCTTGGTCACAGATAATAAGGCACTCATGTCAATTTTTGGACCTAAAACGGGTGTTCCAGTGATGGCAGCAAATAGACTGCAGAGATATGCACATTTTCTGAGTGGCTTCAATTTTGATATCAAGCATGTGTCATCCATTCAAAATGTAGCTGACTTCTTAAGCAGAATGCCGATTGAAGATGACATGTCTGTGCAACTGATCGACTTCCCCATTCATTTAAATTATCTCACTAATTCCGATTCTAGTATACCAGTCGATGTTAACAAGGTCAGAGAACTTACATCCTCAGATTCAGTACTTTCTGAGGTACTCAATTTTGTTAAAAAGGGGTGGCCTGCAAGTCATAAAAGTAATGAATTGAAACCTTATTTCAGTAGGAAAAATGAAATCAATGTTGAAGACGATGTCCTGCTTTGGGGACATCGAGTTATCATACCATTTCAGTTACGAGAGGTGATATTGAAGGAGTTGCATGCTACCCATTTGGGAATTGTTAAAATGAAGTATCTTGCGAGATCTTACTTTTGGTGGCCGTCCTTGAATGATGATATTGAAAGTGTTAGTAAGCAGTGCAACATATGTCAACGCTTGCAATCATCGCCGGCCAAGGCACCGTTACAATGTTGGCAAATACCCGAGGGCATTTGGTCGCGGATACATATAGATTTTTTTGAACCGAAAAAAAACAATTTCTTTTTGATTGTCGTTGATGCCTTTTCCAAATGGCTTGAAGTATTTCCGATGGCATCTGTTACCACTAACATGACTATTACAAAGCTGCGAGAACTTTTTTCTAGATTTGGATTGCCTAAGACTATTGCAAGTGATAATGGTCCCCAGTTAGTGTCAGAAGAATTTAAACAATTTGCAAATGTTAATGGTATTAAACTAATAACTATTCCGCCTTATGAACCTCATTGTAATGGTGCAGCTGAGAATAGCGTAAAAACTGTTAAAAATTTTTTGAAAAAGGTTAGTGATCAAAAGAACTGTAGTTTACTATTAGCTCAATTCCTTATGACATATAGGAATACTGTTCACTGTTCTACTGGTTATTCTCCTGCTAAAGTATTTTTAGGTCGTTCGTTGAGAACTCGATTTGACATGCTTAGACCAAGCTCAGTCCAAGACAATGAAAAAGTTGAACTTGAAAATGTTTACCAAAACATACAACGTTCTCAACGAAGAAACGCAAAATACTTCAGAGGAAATAGGAAAGTATGTTTTAATATTGACCAAATTGTGTTGGTTAAAGATTATCGCGATAAACAAGTAACTTGGTGTAAAGGACAAGTTGTTAAAATTTTAGGGAAAAACGTTTACGTTGTTCGACCACTAGATTCAAATTTCCTTTGGAAAAGACATACTAATCAGATCAGAGAACTAAATGATTATTCGTTGGTCTACCCACCCTGCGTGGAGCTACCGCACACTGTAAACGTTTTTTCCAATAGTGATGGCGCCAGCAATACTTCTGCCGGTAGTTCGGTTGATGATGTGTTTGTGGATGCCGGAATCGCGGATAGTGAACGCGTGGGTGTCAGTGACTCGGATTCTAGCTCCATTGGTGAACAGGCTGAACTTACACGACCCATACGTATCCGTAAGGTACCGGATAGGCTCCAATACTAACCATTCATTAATTGTTTCTTTTTTTATTGTTACCCATCTGATCACTGTTAACAATTTTCGGGGGAGATGAATGTAGTATATTAAGTACGCCCCTGGTTCCCCGAAAATTGCGCATGTACGATGAGTACTCTCACCGGGATACGTTTGACACACAGTATGTCGGGGTTCCGGATTTGTAACAGTTATCGGTGATATATAATAAACCATTAGTATACTTCCGGGTATTATTGATACCAACTAAGACATTACAATCTGGCAAAGCACGATCGGGATATCTCTGGTGATAAATCCGTCTGACTTGCTCACCATTACCGTCGGCAAGGCCATATATGTACGTAATGCATTTCCGCCATTTCCGCATTTGAATAATTCACCATTATTAACAAGATTGTAAAAACTAAATAATGAAATAGATGTCACAGCAAACAGATTTGAATAACAGAGACTTGTCAGATGTCAAAATCCAGAGACATATTTCAGAGCAACTAGATATTGCTAAATTGCATTCTTCCATTATTACATCAATTTTCTCGGACAATATAACGGTTTTAATTTTTTTTACTCAAAAATGGCGCATCGAAGGAAAACAATTCAAGAGAGATCATTTGTTTTAAATTTAACGGGGAATTAAACAATAATTTTTATTTGGCAAAAAACCATTGGCATACCATTTTTTTCTTAAAAAATATCGAAGTCAATACCCGTACGCACGCCACTGTTAAAGCTAAAAATCATTTTTGCATTGAGAAATATGCAGCTTTATTAACTTTCACTACGTACTGAATATCAGTGAAATATCTGAAGCGGTTCTGGAAATATTAATTAATTTCCATTTTTGTCCTAAAACCTCATCACCCCGAGTTTTTGTAAGGAAACATTTATAAAGCAAACTAACATTAATTTTTCATGTAGATTCACACCCTTCAATATTCGCATATCATTAAGGAACACCCTGTATAATGTTTTTACCAGCAGTAAATTTATACACTTTGAACCCAATTAATTTTACCCATCAGCACATATTTCACACATCATAGATTTCCCCGTACATTTACCCTCAACACTTAGAGAAGCATTTGTAGACGCAACACGCGCCCATCCGTGTCGCAACCTTCATACTCTGAGCACTGTCTGCGTATCTGCTGTCTGATTGACGCTAACTGCATCGTCGATTCTCTCGAGTTACTCTACTTGTATGCATGAACCTATTTAGTTGACTTAATCCATTTGATTTTTTTGTTATACATGTTTGTAGTTAGTGCAGAGAGACTAACTTGTGCCGAACATAATCATTTATGAACTGATGACATCGTTGCGTGATAGGAGCAGAGTCAACCTACTTGACGCCATTTTCTTATATCTACTCCTAGGATTATTTATTACAAAATTGTTGGACCAGTATAATTTATAGCGCTATACAGGAGAAAAGACGGCTTATTTTATCCATGCCGAACAATAGATAGTAAGCCAGCTTAAAGTTTTTCCAAAGATGTCATCGTTAGGCCAATATTATATAAAGTTGAAAACAGCAATATTGCGTTAGGACTAGTCCCCTGGCGATCTGAATAAGTTATTTATTTGTTCACTTGTAGTAATATTTTTTCAGTGTTCTATATGCACCAAAGAAATTGTCATATCATCATGGGAGAGGTTGTAAGCAAATTTGAACGTATGAGTCGCGATTTGCTGGTAATTTCAAGGAGTAGATGTCAGAAAAGTAATTAATTATTTCTTTATATATGAAGTGAGGCAATAAATAAATGATACACCAGTCCTGTTTTAAGACAACCATGTCATAAATATACAAATTCTTTCTGAGCGTAATGGAAGGGAACCGCCAGAAGCGTATTAAAAAATTAACGAATTCTCTGGTAACGAGCTAGCTGCTACCTTCTACCCCTTTTCTTCCCTTAACAGAATTAGGAAAAGAACGGGCATCGTAACACCGCTTGTGCTTGTCGCCAACTCCAGCTAGGGAATGAATAATTTTAAAAGAAATCCGACGGGGTAAATTGGGTTAAATAATAAACGTCGCAGAGTGTAATTTACAATTCCCGGCGTGGAACGCGGGCCAGCGCCACTGCTGGCGCCTACACCCTTTTCTTATAATTAATAAATGACCCCCGACAGGACGGACAACATGCGCCGCTATATTGCACCCCTAACCTCTGCTGTCGCCTGCGTAGGGGACAGTTGATTTAGGTTAACAGAAGATTCTGGTAGTAAGCAATGATTTTTGTAACAAATGGTTTCAATTATACTTTTAACGCTAGTCTATGAGGGAAGTATGAAAATATGTTTTGAAGTATAACGTTGTGCCTTTGTTTTGTCAAAACCATGTGACAGGAATAGACTATTCAAATCAAACATAAAATACATAAACGTAACCCTATGTACTTCCCACTCAACGCCGTCATCAGTTCATAAAATATTATGTTCAGCACAAGTAGGACCCTATCGAAATGTGACAGCGGGCATAGACATTATATGCTAGATAAATGCTATTCTTCCGATCGTTGTCCCAGAAACAAAGCCTAGACCATCCTGATGAGTTGCCAAAAAAAGCACGGAACAGCTGTCCATGGTTGTTTGTCTTTGGTCGGACAGAAGGAAGCAGCATGTTGAAGTTAGATCCTCTAAGAAAAAATCAGTTACGAACATATATAACAGAGAAATTAAACGGATCATGTCCATCAAGCAGGTCCATATAATTGGTCCATAGAAATTCTTTTGCTGTCCTACGCTCCTACAGGCGAATACTTTATTTTAGAAAATTGGAAAAACAACATATCTCTCTTAATCATCGACCTTTCTCAATAATTTTCACCATCTATAATAAAATTAAAATAAGTTTGCTCCAAATTATTTTTCCTCAACTTTGAAAGTTCCTTCATATTAGCTAGCTCGCTGGTAGGATAACATCCAAAACTCACTTCTTCCACAGTAACATCTAACATTTTTGAAAATAACTCTGAACTTCATCGGACTACAAATCACACTTCCTTGGACTATTTTTACTGAACTTCCCACATAGTAGGCAACACACATCACAAGTACGAAACAGTTCGATAACGGTTCAATAACTTCAATGTCACACTTCATACGCCACTGTAGAGTGTCAGTCGGCCGACACGTGTTGGATAATGTTGAGGTTGTCAGAAAAAATGAAATATCGGAGGATTTTTCAGTAGTTGATAGATTTTCAAGTTCATCCAAATCAATCAGTGGTTAATAATTAAGAAAACATAGCTATGGTTTGCCATTTTTCAATAAAATTAAAATAATTCCGTCCTATTCGAACGTCATCAGTCCAGTTTTTTGTTCGTCGACTATGTGTCCCCTTTCACGGTCGTTCAAGAACAACTTCAGCAACAATCTCGCCGACTTAGTAAGTAATTATATTTTGTCCTCCTAATTGCTTATTGTTGCTATTTTGAAAAAATGGTTTTTCAGCTCCAGACGATGATGTCATTTACTATCGAAAGCTCGAGTTCAAATAATTATA